CAGAGGGACAATGGAGAGTATTTCTAAAAGTAGAGGTGGAATGTGCATATTTAATGAGAGTAGAACCAGTATTAGAGATTGGGAGTCCAACGCCATTACCAACCTCCATGGTTTCCTTTCCTTTAAATGGTTGCTTGTCAATTAGAAAATCTTCAGCGGTAATGTGATTATTGACCCCACGTCAAGGTACCAGGTGGTGCCTTCAATGGTGGTGTTGGTCTGAGCAACCATGGTTGAAAGTTGGGCTAGAAGGTTTCGCCCTTGATAAGAGAAATCCATCCAGTAGAAGCCGTCTAAGGCATTATGGCTGCTTTTACCACAGATCTGGCAATGAACTCGAGGAGTGGAGTTATTCTGTCAATATGAGCAGGAGAAGAGCTGTTCAAGGGCTTATGTTGTACAAGAGCCCGAGAGGAATATTTGGGGAAAGGTCTTCGAGGTCCATTAGTACGTCGAAAAGTTGGTTTCCCTGGCTTTGTGATATTTGAGCAAAGCTGTAGGTAACTGATGTGGTCATTTATACCTTATCTCGAGAATGAGGACTCCCAAGGGGTCCAGCTTTCTGATCACTGCACTAGACTCCTCGAACATAAAGTATACCTCGAGATACTCGAGGATGGACGACCTGATTTTGTCCTTAGAATCACTTTGACGATCCTCAGGACAATGTGCTCGGGTATTGCTTGGTCCATTCCAAATACCCCTCGATTAAGAAACATTAGTCCTCGTCCAATAAAGATCCTAGCTCTACTCAATCACCCCAACCTACGGAATCCTGAGTCATAAGGGATTATTATTTTGGATAAACATAAGTTGGAACTCCTAGTCATGGTCCAACACTAATCCCTACAATCCCTCCTGAAAAAATAAGGATACGAATCCTACTTGAACTACATCACCTACTACTATAAATATGGATCTCTCATTCATTATCAAGGTACATTTTTACATATATACTCCGCATATATTTTCTCTCCAACTTNGGTAAGATCAGTAACTATGAAAACATGTTGTTGGTGATGCAATAAGATTTCAAGACTCAAAGTTCTGCCTGAAAATCTTCAAATGAAAAGGCTTTGTCACGAATAGAAAACGAGAAGGCAGTGACAAAGGACGTGTAGGAGGAGTTAAGTTCGGCGATAACAAAGGAAATAAGGTCCTTATCAGGAATGAGTTTGCCAATAGTAGCCGACTAATCAGCCCAGAGTTTGGTAGAGGCAAAGAACTCGGAACAAGATCTATTACCTTGCTGCAAGGTCTGGAGTGGCGCTTTAACCGAGCAATGCGTGATGGAGAATGAGAGGCAAAACATGTTACCAGAGTTAGCCAGACCTGTCGAGTGTTAAGTCCATATACAGTGGACAACACTTTCTCAATAAGGGTGACGTTGATCCAACTAAAAAGATTTTGGTCTTTCTTGGTCCAGAGAACAAAGGCTAGATTTATGAGAGTAAGGTCAGTTCCATCATTAAAGGAAAGAAATTGAGCGGCGTAGATGTCAGTTCCATCTACCATGCCGAGAAAACCATGGCTCTAGAGAATTGGTAAAAATTGCGACAACCACAGTAGGTAGTTGGTACCATCTAACTTGATGGAAATGAGCTGGGTAATATTGGAAAGGAGACGGTGGTGGTCATATGGGTGGAGGTGGTGATGGGGGTTGAAGTCGTGGAGGAAGTATTTGATTCGACCATAGGGATAGTGTTTTAGGATTGATGTGCGAGAAGAAAAAAGCTTTGATACCATAAAAGAGAAGATAATATTGGAAAATGTTCAATTATACAATATACTCAATAGGATGTGCACGATTACTGAGATTTACAATGAAAAGAAATGAATAGAAATATCCATAAAATAAAGTTAATGGAATATGCTATACATTGAGTTTAGGCCAGATATGGGCACAAGATCCGTGTATGCGAAGTAGCGAGGAAAGTAATAAAGGCATAAACCAAGTACTGCATCTAAATGAACATTTTAAAATTATTACCACGTGACCAGGGTTAGCTAAGACAGCAAACGTTTGGGTAGTTAGCTTATTAAGTAAAATAAAGTTTTAGAATTATTGAAGATTCTTTGGACTCAATGGCAGTCCAAGTTTGACAGCTCTCTGACTATTCCAACTTGTCAATTGCCGAAAGGGAAATCACCCACGCGTCAAAGAAAAGCAAACGCATGACCGTTATTCCTGTTATAATATTTTTCTACTTCTAAGAAACGCGGAGGTTTAATTCTCCACCCCACTCCACCCCACCTAACCTAGACTGTTATTTATCTAAGCCCTAAAGAAAATTTCCTAAACAGCCCCAGAAGTACAAGAAAAAAACTCGGTTAACTAAAAGGGTTGTTTCGTTCCCTTTCCTTGTCAAAAACTGAGAAATTTGGAGGTTTTCTTATTGATCAATTTCAAGGAAATTCGAGAAATACACAAAATGGTTCAAGAAAAGGGTGAGCCTATGTATGGAGATGGGTTTGCATGGTTTAGGGGTGCAATGATTGGAAAAGGGGGGTTTGGGCGTGTTTATTTGGCTACTTCGAAGAATCCCAGTTCAAAATGCAGCTGTTGGCCTCCTGTGATGGCTGTAAAATCCGCCGAGGTATCAGTTTCTGGTTCAATTCAGAAAGAGAGGGAGGTTTTGAGCAATGTCAAGGGTTGCCCTAATATAATTAGATGTTTTGGTGAAGAGACAACAATGGGGGAGAATGGTGTGATGGTGTTTAATCTGCTTTTGGAGTATGGTTCTGGCGGAACATTAGCGGATAGAATTAAAAAATTGGGTGGCAATGGAATGTCTGAATCTGAGGTTAGGGTATATGCAAAGTCTATACTTCAAGGGTTGAATCATATTCATGGCATTGGTTATGTTCATTGTGACTTAAAACCCGATAATGTTTTACTTGTTCAAAGTGGCCGAAGAACCGGGGTTTGTGAGTTTAGGGCAAAAATTGGCGATTTTGGGTTGGCAAAGAGGGCACAGGGGAACAAGAAGAGGAAATTGGAGCCTTATTGGAGGGGCACTCCACGGTATTTGGCTCCCGAGGCTGTGGTGGATAATGTGCAGGAGTTTCCTTCTGATATTTGGGCATTTGGGTGTATTGTTCTTGAGATGTTAACTGGGAAACCTCCTTGGGATGGGGAAAAGGAATCAAATGCAGAGGATATTCTTCGTAAGATTAAAGAAGGATTGCCAAAAATTCAGAATGATATATCAAAGGAGGCAAGGGATTTTCTTAAGGGTTGTTTTGTGAAGAAACCAATGTTTAGATTGACAGCAGAAATGTTATTGAATCATCCATTCTTAGAAGGTTTGGAGGTCGTTGGGGATGAAGAATTCGAGGAGGTTGAAGATTTGAATGAGATTGAATCTATTTTGTTAGTATATGAAAGTGAGGATGAATTAAGTAGTAGCTCATTTCAAGATTATTGTAGCTTTGATTCGGGGGAGGATTTCTTCGATTATTTGTCTGAAGAAGATGTGGAGGATGAAGTTGTATCCCATTTTAACGAAGGAAAATCGAAGGAAGAAGAAACTAAGAGTGTCACTAGTTCCATTGATGATTCTGGTTTTGATCAAACAATCAAATCAAAAAATGGACGACAATATCCAGTTTCTCATACTATTCCTGCAGGTGTCTAGCAAGATATTCAGTGAGAAATCCATATTCAATTTTGCTTTGTTGTATGTTCAATTGATTATTTACAGGTTATACTAGTTTACCTAGATAATATATTAGGAATTGATTCATAGATTTATTCTAGTTTCTGCTAACTTGTAGCAGCATTTCTTCAATCATGATAATGTTCTAGTTTCCTTTTTCATTGTTTCAATTTGTTTACAGAGGAATGCATCACTATATCAAAACCATGTTTGCCAGAAATTGCATTGCATTAGCAAGTGTTGGAATATGGAGCTTAATCATATTCGACATTAATTCTTTTTCCATGGTGATAAGAACTTGGAGTGGTGGGTGGATACAATTCTCGCCATGTGTATTTTGCTTGTACTCGTTTCCTTGGAGTGGCGGGATGTGAGAATTCCGGTATATGGATTGACCAACTATTTGAGTCATTAGACTAGTCGTTATACATTGTCGAGGATGACTAGCATGATGTAACCATTATTAATGTCTTGTCCGAGAATATTTCTAGTGGAGACTTAGTCAGTTTGGTAAAAACGATAAGAGAGAACATTTAGTAAGGGGGCATTATGGTCAGTGACACTGAGATATTCATCCTATGTAGGTCATGTTTATAAACAATTTACTTTTATATACACTAGCACAACTTACTTATGCTTCACTCGTTTCTATCTACTTATTTAAACAATACTTTTCAAATATGGAAAAAAAATGAAAAAGAAAAGGAAAAACGAGCTAGCCATTTTTCACATTTTCCCCTAATACTGGACCATTTAAAAGAAAGAAAAAAACCACCTTTTTTTAGTACTTAAAATGTGTATATAAATTAAAAATAAGGTCCATGTTGGGGCTCCATTTTATCAATAGAATGTATTTTGGAATAGTAAAAAGTTGGAGAATGTATAATTAAAAATAAAGAAAAAGTTTTCGATTTACGTGTTAAATTATTTTATAGGAGAATGTGTGATTGAAAATAAGCGTTGAAAAAAATGGAGTTCAAACATGTGCTGTGTTACAAGTGAAAGTCTAGGAAATGCTGGCAGCGTTAATGACATCACTTTAGTGCTACTAGTGTCAATTTCTCTTTAAAATTGAAAATGTCAACTAGAGGCTTAAAATGGCCCGTCGAAGTCGTAATTGGATAAGGTCCATGTTGAATAGTATTACTGGATTTGGTCCGTTTGGATAATATTGGATCTGGGTTCAAACCTGACCCATCTTAAAGCCCAAATCATTGTATATTCCCGCCTTGGCCTGGTTTCTCTCTCTCTCTCTCTCTGACTCTCTCCCATTTTTCCCCAAATCTTAATTACTAGCATCAACAGGGGACGTGCGTGGACGGTGAATGCAGGGGTCGGGGGCGTGCGCCTTGTGAGGCTGTGACGTGCGAATGCAGGGGCTTCTCAAATCTGTGTTTTGGTTGTAATGGATTGCATTTGCAGCCTGCAGGGCTTCTATCAAGGGAAGAATGGGCCAAATAATTGGGCCACATTTTTTTTTAGTTTCAGGTTGCTGAAAAATTCAGGGGCGGCCTAGAGCCCAGTGCAAGCATCTGCATGTATTGGGATTAGGTTGGGTCCGCCCCTGCCGATCGTTAATGCGGTGCCACATCATCATGGTCAAGCCTATAGTTTTTGACAATTCAACATTCAATTGTTAAAAATTGTATGTCCACATCAGCGGTGTGCAAGATAACTCCTACCCACAATGGGTAGGAGATCATTTCTGTATATTATTATTAACACAAAGTAATTAAATCCTATTTTCCCAACAAGTACAACAATATTGTTAAACTGAGGAATGGGGCAAATATATTGGAACGTATTTAATTATTCTAGCATAGCTGTAGACTCGTCTCTGTGTTAAGTGGCCACCAAGTTTTTCATTTTTTCATTTTTTTTTAATTTTTATTTTTCTATTCTCTCAATTAATAGAGAGTGGCTGATATCATCCCCATAAGTCTGATGTCTTCTCTCCAAATCATTGTTAAGAATTCGAAAATGCCTTACCTAACATCTCACTATATATCAAGTCTCAACCATTATGTAGTGATACAACATGGTGGTCGATTAGGCATCATGGCTTCAAGTGGGTTAAAAAGATCGTGCATCACATTTGAAATATTAAGAATACGATGCGTTAATAGAGTATTATATGCAAATATGCAATACCCAGTATATCGACGATAAAAATCATGCATCATTTAAACACTGGAGAAATTTTTTATAACACTCCAAATTAAGTAGTTCAAATGAGAAGTTCCAATGTTCGTATTCCTCGTATAGAGTGAAAAAATAAAAATAAAATCAGAACGTGTGTTAAAAACATGTTGTATGATTGTCGTGGAATTTTTCACATACTTGTCCACTTAAGTGTGCCTTCAAATTTTGAATATGGAATTTAGTAACATGAATCAGAAAAAAATAAAATAAAATAAAAAATAAAAAACCTTACTAATATTGTTGCATAAAGTTTCGAGACTAAATGAAAAAATGGATAATTCCGTTTTACCTTAAATATGATCCAAAATTAACTTTTAAATTTAAAAAAAAATTATTTTAACTTTTTAAGAGTCATACCAAAGAGACTATAAATATCTCTACAAATAAATAACAAATATAATGAAAATTATTTTCTCATAAGAATACACATCTGAAAAAATGGAAGACAAGTGTGGGTTTAGGCCCTATTTGATCCATATTATTTTTTTTATTCTCATTCTTCTACTCATTTTCAACTACACATTTTTCAATAAAATAATATTTCACATCACATCAATAATTTTTCTTTCTTTTTCAACCACATATTCTCCATCACACCAACCGTAAAAATGCATTCTTACCTTCAAAATGTGCACCAAACGGAGGCTAATAAAAAAAAAAAAAAATTCAAAAACAAAGAAATAAATTGTTCTTTATAATATTATTATAGATTTAATCAAACTCACACTTTTGATAAGGTGTTGAAAGAGTAAGGGGTTCTTTGACAAAACTTTTGATAAAAGATTTAGCAGTTTTTGATAAAAGTCGATAAAATACGTGATTGAAAAATTGATAAAAATAGTGAATAAGGTGAAATGAGGAATTAAAATTAAATATTGACTTTGAACTCAATTTTTTAGCAACTTTTTAATATATACCAAACAAACCCCAAGCCACACTATACAAATACAAATACTATGGAAGATTTTCTGGGCATTGTTGCCAACCCTCAGTCAATTTTACTTAATCATACAAGCAAATAAAAAAAAGGCCTGTTCAAGTTGATTTTTTTACCAACTTTCAAAAAAGTAGGACCAAACTCATTAATAGACTGATACAAACCACATCCTATATATAATTTCAATACTATTATCTAGATAACACCATAGCTGTTAGAAATTCAATTATAGAACAGTATAAATGGATAAGATTTCTTACATGCACATAGCATTCGGCATATAAAGAGATGTTGTCAGGGAAGAAGGCCATCGATAAGGACAGAAACAGCCCAAATCAACCCAAAATACATTTTTCAGTTGATCAAATGTCATACAACAGCTTCTCAAAAACTTTCATGTGTTCCGTTTGAAGCGAAATCGCAACAGATAAGCTCCCGTCGTTTTCTGGACTAGGCAATACAAAACTCAAACCTTCGTAGGCTATCCCACCGGGTCCCATAAAGATCGGCCTACCCCAACCGAAGTCTGCATCGTGGATTGGCAGCCGAACCCAACTTGTTATTCCAAGATTTGGACACCTAAAAGTATGTGCACCACGAACAAGGGCCTTAAGATCCGGTTGCAATTCCAAGTAATTGAGAGCAGATCTCAAGTAATCGTTGTCCATTCGAGCTAAAGCATCGTGAATTTTACTCGCAGCGTACCATATGGGCTTTGATTGGAGATCACCAGCTACTGCAATAGGAGTGGCTGTGAATATCACATTCCCAAAATATCCCTCGGGGAGTGGAGGTTGCAGCCTAGAACGCCCATCGGTTGCAATGTAAAGCTTTGTTTCCTGATCCTCGGGAAGTCCTCGTGCATTACACGTACAACGCCATACATGCCCTGCCAACATTGCGTACGAGCTATAGGAAATCGTGTTTTCCTCATCCTTCGACTTGGATTTTAGGACATTGAGTTGGGCACGAGTTAGTTTGAATATCGAAACAACCGTATCGGGATCAGATTTAGGGTTATTTTGAGAAGGGGTTTTCATGGCCGGAGGAGGCTGGTACTCGATGTGCTTGAACTGTGGCTGGGGTGGATCACGTGCACGGAGGAGAGTCCGGTCGATGAAAGGCGAGACGGTAATGTCTAGACCACGGGCCATATCGGACCATGTATTGATAAAATGAAGACCAGAAAATCCATCTGCTACATGATGTTGCATTCCAACGCCTAGGGAGACTCCTCCACACTTGAAATATGTGAACTGCACAACATTTTTTTCAGTTTTGGCTGTTTTTAATTTCAACTGAGCTAGAAAAGACAGCTTTCAATTCTCAAACAAACAATCTCAAGTCTTAAGGATACCCCTTTTTTTTCCCCCTATTTGGCTTCTACTTCCTAAGATTCATTTTTTCTTAAACTCGTTTTTAACCATATATTTCATGAAATCTCACAATTTTCAGCAACTTTTATCGGGATCTAATAAAAATCTTATTTTAAATTAATCAAACAGGGTCGCAATTGATACCAAATATTCTTGTTTTTTCCTTCGACCAAGATATATCTTTATTTTGTTCCAGAACAATTAAAGTGAAACACAACAAATCACCACTTCCTTTAGCCAGTGTTTGGAACAATTAAAGTGAAACACGACAAATTACCACTTCCTTTAGCCAGTGTTTGGAACAATTAAAGTGAAACACGACCATATTACCGGGGGCGGGGGCGGGGGCGGGGGCGGGGGGAGGGGTAGGCCCCCAGCCTCCCCCAACTAAATTTTTTTAGTTAGAAAAAAAAAATTATGAAAAAAAAAATTATGTGTAATTTTATTTTATGTATATAATCCGGTCCTGGATCCGTCCCTATTATATTTTAAAAAGTGAAAAAGAAAAAAAAATTACTGTTAAGCAGGGAAAAACTGAAACATGCAAATAATTTCTAAATTTACATAACCTCGTATGTAATATATTGCCACTAAAAATAAAGAGAGAGAGAGATGAATATAATCAAATACATCCGTCGAATATTATGCAATAAAGCATGTTTATGTCATGTGCGAATATGACAATTTATTTCTTTTCACACCTTCCAATATACTAATGTCGTCGAGTTTCTTCAGTAATTTTTATACAAGCATGTAAATACAAATTCGAAAAGAATTTTGTACACTCTGTCTCGTATTTTTTTCAAACTTTTGTGGAATCTTAGTTAAACGTGTGGNTTTTGGGAGTAGTAAAATTAAATGTCCAAACCCACTCTCTATAATTAAATCCATTCAAAGTGTTTCAATTTTCAATATAAGAAAATAATAAAATAATTTAAAGAAAAACTAGTTAAAATAAAAGATAAAAAAATAATAAATATTTTTTGGGAGTAGTAAAACTAAATGGTAAATATAAAGAGATTGTTGGAATGCTTCAAAATTTGAACTCTCTAAATTCATAGACGTTCTTTAAATAATAAAATATGCTCCTTAAAAATAGAAAATTTATTAAAAATACTCAAGTCATATCAAATACACTGAGAAACCAAACACAAACAATGACTTGAATTTGACTATGTTTCACAAAAGTAACGTGTGAACACGTTTCAGGAGGGACTTTACCTTAATGGCCACAACTTGATGATTCATAGCACTAAATATATTAAATTACACGGAAAAAATTAATGAAGCATAATAATCAATGCACTCGTTACGCACACATTCTAAATCCATGTAAAACCAGAATCGCACCTGTAACACCAGAAGTGGATACGTCGATATTGGTTGAGAATAATCCACAGCCGGAATAAGGCGGCGGAGCTCCAGCGTCGGAGCAAAGTCGCCGAAATCATCCACTGTCCCGTCAGAGTCCGCCTCCACGAACAGCACTCCTTCACCATTACAGTCAATCTCTATGCGGCCATCTTCATCTCTCTTCAACCTACCAGCCATGGGATAGAACGACACCAGTGCACGGCTGAGCGCGTCTTTGAGCACGGTAGCGTCGAAAAAGTTCATCGCCCCGGTCGGCCGGTAAAAGTACACGCTGGGGGTGTGGAAGTTCGGCACCACCAGGTCCACGTTGGAGTTCCACAGGCTTTTCATCGGCGTCTCCGCCGCTGGCCTCACCATGGTGGAATCTTTCACGCCGATCCTCATGGCTTAACGTCGTAGTTTTATGCACTTGCTACAAAAGTATATCAAATTATTCGATGACAAACGTTGACGTGGTGGCGGAGAGCGGCAGTGTTGGGTGGATCAAGGATATACAGGATGAAACTTGTATGTACGATGGAGTCGTTGCTAAGGCATGACCAAATTTGAAGATTATTATATAAACTTGGCCTCTTACCTACCGCGCCTAATCAAGATGACAACGAGCTAACGACAATAAAGAGTTGGGAAATTCAGCTTGTCCACGTGAAAGCATGTAGATAAGCATAAACAGCAAAAGAAAAAACAACTTAGCCCCCATTTTGATTTTCTTAAAATTCACGCATTTTCAAAACACTTCTTCAATAAAGTAAGAATAAATCTAGGATTGTGCTACTTGTACATTATGATATCCATAATGGATGACATAATGCAAAGTGACAGTACATTATTGGAGGGTGTGCTGGCCCACCAATTATCCATAAATCTATCTGTACATCATTATTGTACATAATGGATTACATAGGTCAATGTGAAAGAAATCCGATCGTGGATGTGAAGTGTGAAAAAGTCAAAAATTGTAGACTACCTATGAATGCGCTCCACATATCAATTACGTAATGTATTATATAAATGATTATGTAATTGTAGCATGATCCATAAAATAATATTACACGTAAATGCAAAAAAATTTCTTATTTTTAACCATATATTTTTCATCGCATCACATTATAAAATGCATTTTTTTTTCTCAATAACGTACGTCAAACAACCCTTATAATCAAAAAAGGGGTAAAATAATTAAAATCTGAAAAAGTGGAGAGATAATTTATAAAGAGAAACAAGTTGGTGACTGGTGAGGAAGTTGGTGAGATGGTGACCCAAAAGTTTTATCCCCACCAAAAGTAGGTCCATTGTAGGTCCATGTGACCCAAAAGTAGGTCCATTGCTCTGGCAATGTGGGCCCTTTTATGTAGAACCCGACCACCGACAACCTTGTGCTCGTGGTCACGTTAACATCGAACACCCCATAGACGATAATATCTTTCGACTCATCAAAATTTATTTATTTATTTAATATTATTCAGTTTATGGTACTAGCTCATCAATTGAGAATTGTTTGTTTGTCCCAACTCATTTAAAAATAATTTTTTATCAAATTAATTTTTAACTCCACATTTTTCAAATAAGATATTTTTACTCTTGAATTCATAATTTTTTTTCAATTATTTAACCATATATTCTTTAAAAAGTTATTTTCACTTCACATAATCTCTCTCAAACAACACTAATTTTAGTTGCGATAGTTTCAAAAATAGCCTACTATTGTCTAAAAACTTAAAAATACTGCCTTTTACAATTATTTTCAAAAATTTACTTTTTTTTATACATACATAATTTTCATTTAAAATCAATATTTCAACTTAAAGTGACATTTTAACTAAGTGGTGGAACGCAAGATAGTTTGAACTCTTGTGAGTGAAGAGAATATAAAAAGACAAATGGGATTGAAGATGAGAGAGAGAGAGAGATGTTAACGTATATACATATATACACAATGTACATGTTAGTTAATCTCACATTGATTAGAAAGTAAAACATTCATATTAAGTTAAACTATAAATATGATGTTTCTCTTGTAAACAAATTACACCATTCAATACAATTCTATTCTTTTTGTATTGTTGAGTATGCTCTGTGATTGCCACTATTGGTGGATTTTTCAAATCAGAAAAACTTCTTGTATATCGTCGTCATACTTGTTGGGTCGTCACTATAGTCGGAGTCTTATTCTCCATCGACGTCATCTCAGCCATCACTCCATCAGTTCAGTTCGGTTCGGTTCCTGTTATTATTATTTTTCTTTGTCCTCCTCTAGTTTCGTTCACAGTATGGAGCATCTTGAGACTTCACAACCCATTGTCATTATCACTACATCATATGGGGTCAGGCTATGTCAAGCTTTCTTAAGGGCAAAAAGTTATGGCGCTATGTCACTGGTGATATCACTGAACCAGACAAAGTCGTTGGAGAAGACAACACAAAATACATAGACTGTCTCGAAGAGTGGGATAGCAAGAACCACCAAATTATCACTTGGATTTACAACACGTGTGTACGCTCCATCAGTCTCCAGTTTGGTAGATTTAAGACTGCCAGTCATTATGAGATTTTCTACAGAAACGCTACACCACCGCAGATATGTCTCATGAATACCAATTTCTGGGTACTCTACATCGTATGCAACAACAACCTGGGCAATCCATCAATATTTTCTAATCTAAGATGCACTATGTTTGGGATCAACTTGCTTCCTCAAAACCAGAGTTTACAGATGCCAAAAATGTTAAGAAATTTTCCGATTATCGAGATCAGCAACACTTGGTTCTCTTTCTCATGGCCCTCACTAATGAGTTTGAGCATGTTCGTGCATCTCTCCTTCACCGCAATCCTTTAACTACTTTAGATCAAGCTGTTACTGAACTTCTTTTAGAAGAAACTCGTCTTGCCCCTCGCAAAACAACCTCTATAGATGCTGTTTTCGCCACTCCCAGAGGACCTCAACCCAACAATAAAGGGCATTCATCTGGATCTTTTCAACACAACAACAAAAGGCATCCATCTGGATCTTTAAAATTCTGCAATTACTGCAAGTAATCGGACAAACTCTCTTGGAATGCCCGATTCGAGTTTGCCAATTCTGTCAAAAGCAAGCCACAGGTCATTTTCAGCGTGATTATTTTCAAAACCCTAACAGACACTCCCAGCAATACATGTCTCGCGGTACTCTTTCTAGATTTGTTGCCATTACTGCTGAAGGTTCATCATTCACTACTTCCAGTGAGACATTTTCTGCCTTTAACATAGAGGAAATTGTCAAACAAGTCCTTGCTCATTCTGGTAATATACCCTCTACTGCTATGTCAGTCACCTTAAGTAAATTATCTTGGTTATTCGTCTCTGCATGCTGTAATTACATGACACCTGATTCCACTATATTTGCCACCAAACATCTTGCTAATCATGCTCCGACTATTCAAATTGCTGATGATTCTTCTACAATTGTAAGTCATATCGAAAAAATATCGATATTAAACACTTCTCTTCCTGATACTTACTGTATTCCCCAACTCACTCTCAATCTTATATATGTTGGTCAATTATGTGACTTCGGTCTAACTGTCCTCTTTTCTACTTCTGGTTGTTGTGTGCAGGATCCAAAGACTAGACAAACTCTTGGGATAGGGCGTAAGGTTGGACGACTATTTGAGCTCATCAATCTTCACATTCTATCCCGTTTCTCCTCATCAGTTCAAACAGCAGCTCCAGTCTCATCTAATCCATCCATCAGTCTCTGGCATTCTCGTCTTCAACCTTTAACATCTAGTAGTCATTTAGGATTTATTACTAAAGAACAATTTGATTGTCTTCCTTGTCATCTTGCAAAACAATCGGCATTGCCATTTTACAAAAGTGATTCATTTTCTTCCGCACCATTTGATTTGATTCACTCTAATGTTTGGGGTCCCATCTCCCACTCTCATTATGGGAGGCTCTAGATATTTTGTTTTTTTTTTTGTTGATGATTACTCTCGTTACACTTGGATATTTCTTATGCGCAATCGATCTAAATTACCTCAGTTGTACTTTGATTTTGCTACCATGGTCAAAAATCAATTTTCTTGCAATATCAAAGTGTTTCGTGCTGACAATGTTGCTGAATACACAGACTACAAAGTCCTTAACTTTCTTCACCAACATGGCACCCTTCCTCATCGTTCATGTCCAGACACTTCTCAACAAAATGGGCGTGCTGAATGTAAATATCGAGACATTCTCAATACCGTTCGTGCTCTTCTCATATCTATTTCATGTCCTGAACGCTTTTGGGGTGAAGCTGCTCTTACAGCTGTTTATACCAAGAACTGCATGTCTTCTCGCATCATTGGGAATCAATCACCATTTGAGTGTCTTTATAGTCACCTCCTGACTATAACACTCTTAAGATATTTGGTTGTGCCTGTTTTGTTCTTCTTCAGCCTCATAAGCGCACCAAATTGAAATCTAGATCTCGATTATGTTGTTTCTTAGGATACGATATTGAACACAAATGCTACAGATGTTGAGATCCTTATTCCAAACGTCTCTGAGTATCTCGTCATGTTGTTTTCTGGGAATACAAGATATTCGCCTCCATATCCAAGTTTCACCTGCTGCATGATAACACCTCTCTCCTATTTACCGATCTTTCCACTGATCTTTTTCCTGACACTTCTGAGACAAACTCTTCATCTGAGTCAACATCTCCACCAACACATCCTATCTCTCTCTTCAGATATGTCATTACCAACTGACATGTTTACAGATCCCTCAATTGAGTTATCCACCTTACCCTCATCTGAAAAACTTGTCTCTTCCGATGGAATTGCTCCAACAGCTTCTGATCTCCCTACTCGACGAAGTGATAGGGTAAAAACTCATTCTGTTAATCTTCGTGACTTTGTTGTATTTTCTACTATTCTTTCTCACCATGAACCTCAATCTTATTGTAAAGCTAGTTCTGATCCTCTTTGGTAGAAAGCAATGAATGATGAACTACAAGCACTTGAAAACACTCATACCTGGGATATAGTGGATCTACCAAAAGGTAAACATGCTATGGGATGCAAGTGGGTCTACAAGATCAAAACTCACTCTGATGGGTCCATTGATCGGTACAAAGCTCGCTTAGTAGCTAAAGGGTTTACCCAGGAGTATGGGATTGACTATGAGGAGACCTTTGCCCCGGTTGCTCGCTTTACTTCAGTTCGCAGCCTAATTGCAGTTGCTGTCATTCGTCGTTGGGAATTGTTTCAGATGGATGTGAACTCACCGAAGAAGTTTATATGTGCCCTCCTCCTGGTTCTCATCATCTTCCGCATCAAGTCTGCAAACTTCGTCAGGCTCTATATGGTCTCAAGCAAGCTCCTCAGGCTTGGTTTGCCAAGTTCAGTACCATTGTTGGA